GAGGCAGGAGCTGCATGGGGAAATAAAGCTGGATGTAGCGTCTGAGGAGGAGAGGAGGGAGTTCTGAGGAGGGCGAAACGGAACGGGACACAACACAGACAAGAATCCATCCCTGGTGCTGGGCCGTCCTGGGGGAATGGGAGGAGCGGGCTCCCTTCGGAGAGCCATAAACTGTGGAATGAGGGTGTGAGCCGCTTCTCCTCGCTCCCCCCATCATTCCAGATGCATGATGACACCACGTCCCACCATCTCGCTGGCTTCTTTCTTGGGTTTTTTTTTTCCCTTTCCCGAAATTGTGTTTTGAAGACAACGAAAAGCAGAACGTGTTCTGGGTGTGGCTGGATGTGATTTACCCAATAGCCAGAGTGGGGGGGACTGCTGAAAGCTGCTGCTGAAGGGAGGGGAGACGGAGGGCTGCAGTAAGTGATGGGGACCCTGTCTGTTCTCTCTGCTCCTCAGGATAACCTAAAAGTAGAAGAGAGTGGAGGGAGATAACACGGGGAAACTTTTCTTTGCATGCCTGGTGTGTGTGGAGGGGGACTTGGCCACATGGATGAAAAAAGATGAGAATGGAGAAAGGAGGTAGAAATGGATGGAGTTACATGTTCAGCCCAGAACGTTTCAGAAACACCTGGAAAACTGGCCACATGAGGAGAGAGGTGGGTGAGAGGAAGGCCAGTTTATCTTGAGAGGGAAATAGAAGCAACAAGCAAAGAGTTTCTGTGCTATAGTGGAGGGTATCCCAGTTCCAGCCTTTGCCTTCCCCTGACTCCTCTTTCCTCCACTCCACAGTGATGAAGACCTCTGGAGCCTCTACACTGTTGTGTTTCTTAGCACTCTCCTTGTTCTCCGCTGGTGAGTCCTTGTGTCATGGGGAGGATTTCTCCTCCACCCTGGCCCCACGGAGTTTATTACACAGGCTGATGTGCAGTGACCAAAGGAGAAAGACGTGTAGATGGACAGTGAAAGGGGAAGGACCAAAACAGGAAAGGCAAGGTGGATACAGGGATTGTAAAGAAAAATTGAGGAACTGGAAACTGGTTCCCGTATGTGTCCACTCTCCAGTAAGTACTGGATGTTGCAAGAGACAGCAGTCCACAGCCTCGGCTGCAGGGATGTTTGGGTAAGCAAAATAGCCACATTGGCCTGAGAAAGAGGGTTAGCTGTGTTTTGTGCTGACTGTAGACTGCTGTTCCACCTGTCTTGGCATGATCAGCAGAGCATCTCCCAGTGCTCCACAAAACCTGTTCTGTCATCGTTGTGAAACATTTGCTGCCACAAGTGGTTCTTGCAAGAATGGTCCCATTCCAGCCCACTCAGCTGCCAGGAGCTTTTGTAGGTGTTTGATATAGCAGTTGTGAGAAACCTGACCTCCACAGCTGAAACCATCTCTCTGCTTTTGTTGTTGTGGTTCTGGTCTGTTGCTCCATGTCTTTGTTTACTTGGAGTTAGTTAGACATTGTAGTCTGAAGACTCAGGACAGACAGCAGAAGATTAATTGCAGTGAACAGAAAAAGGCTTGTGCAGGAAAGACTGCTGGAGACAGATGACTGCACCTATCACATTCTCATCAGGATGTTCCAATCTACTCTCCTTGGTCCTTCCCTCGTGCTGAAGCCTGATTCTGCTCCCAATAGCAGCACTTTTTCCTGTGAAGGTGCACAGCAGAGGATGTCATGTTTGTGACTGAAGCAGGGAGGTGAAGCATCCAAGAAATGAGCTTGTACGTGGCCTATGAAGGTAGAGGCAGAAAAAAAAGGCTGTGGCTTTTATGATGCGTTGCTGAAGGGAACATTTCATACTTTTGTATATTTTTTTTTTTACAATTTCTTGGTTGGTTTGTTGGTTTTCTTTTTCCTTTGGTTGTTTTACTGTTGTTGGATTTATTTGTGGTTTTTTTTTAACTTGGAAAGTAACAGGAATCACCAGCTGGTCTCCCATTGTCTCTTTTGGTTTTGAGTAAGCTACTGACTGGTGAATCAGGATAGCAGTTTTAGACCTCAAGGATTTTGAAACTTGGACAGTAAAGTCCAATTGTTTATAAAGCGTATTATTATGGCTGTAGCTGAACCCAGGACACGCATGAATTGGGTACCATAGCAAATCTAAGTTCAAATGATTGAAAATTGGTTAAGAAAGTCACCTCTTTTGTCTCCTCTTGTATGCAGAGGTTTCACTTCACTTCTGTCCTGTTGTTTTAGAATTGGACCGGTTTTCTGGTTCTGGTAGGGAGGGGGGGGGAGGAAAAAGCTTGTAACAGCTGCATTTTCAATGTCAGAAAACGTTGGGGAGCCTCCCTGCTTTTTCTATATGACTCCTGTTTCAAATCTGGCACCACTGGCCTCTGCAGTGGTTTCAGAATCTGCGTCCTTCATTTTGTATCAGAAACAAGTGAGAAAATGTTCAGTATAATTTTTTCTCCTCTGCTTGTTACCATTAAGAGATTAGCCAGAACAGGGAACATTTTGGACTGCACTACATTGTGCACTTAAGTCATTATGCATGTCTGGCTCTCCCTGGGTCCATTGCCAGCAGCTGAGCCCTTGCTGGCAGCTGGGTGGGGAAGGGAAGAGCAGGGTCCAGCGACTCCTCTAATGCTGCAGAGCAGGATTATACAGAGTCCCAAGAGTCCCTCTTCAGCCTGCAAGTAACTGCTCTTGGAATGAGGAAGAACTAAGACAAAAGCTTCAGACCTGGTAGTTTTTACCCATGACTGCTTCCATTAAGAACAGAAAGCTAAAGGCTGAATTTGTAAGACAGGGTGTACTGGTTTTGGACTTCTCCTGCACACATCCCTGCAGTGCCCCAGTTCGCTGGGTTTTTCCTGCCAACTTCTTCCTTCATCCCACCCCAGCTATGCAGACATTTCCCTCCTATGTGGCTAGCAGGAAATACTTTCCTATTCCTGGCTGCTGTAGGAAGCAGCTCTCTCACCCTTTATATTTGGACAAATGAACGGTGTAGCTCAATTTCAATTTCTCCTCTTCCCACACAGCATGCACAGAAAACCCTTCGTCGTTCTCCCTCTCCAGCGCACCCAGGTGCTGAGAGGAGAAAGATTATCTGCTCTGTGCAGCATGGTGGACCAGGGAATTATTAGCCTAAGGAGCTACAAGACCTGTAGTCTGTTCCTTACAGTGCCAATGATTCAGTCTGTGACCCCAAGAAAATAATTTCCATGACTCTTATACAATGGAGGTAGGGATTTTGACCAGCCTCCAGAGCAGAGGGACAATGTGCAATTTGTTTTGCAAGTGCATCAAATGGGGATCCGGAGTTGCAAAGTCTGGTAGCAGATCTGGAGGTATTTACTATCTCGTTCCTGTGCCTAGCATTTGACCCTGTTGGAAGCAGCAGATCAAGGCCTGCTGTATCCGCAGTCTCTTAACGGCAAACCCAGGCAGCAGTGGAGGCTGAGGCAGAGAGATCATTTCTCCCTTCAGCAGAGGGCAGTGGCGTCTCCTGGACAGATAAACGTCTCATAAGAATTTCACAAGGGCTGCAGACTGTAGAAATCCTTCTCTCTGTCCTTTCTTCACTCCTCTCTCTTCTGCTCTTGCAGACTGGTTTCCATGGGCGGTCAATGCGCAAGAACTGGAAAGTGCAACTGGTAAGTATTGCAGGCATGTTATGTGCTAAAGACTGCTCGTGTGACTCGGTTGTCCTGCGGAGTTACAGCCTGTTTAACTGCAAATGCTGTTCTTTTTTTCCTTGCCTCTGACATTTGTGAGCTTGCCTTTCAGTGAAGATTAAACAAGCCCTCCAACACAACCTGCTAAGTGTTGTGTGTTCTTTATAAGTAATTCACTAGTGTTGGGGTCCTGAACACTTAGCATATGAAGTTATGTTCACAGTCAAGGGTTGTGGAAGATCCACAAGAGCTGATTACTCTTCAGCCATGAGATGCACGGCAAAATCCCAAGGGTGCACAAGTGGCGTGGTGCTTTAGCAGTGAGAAAGGATATCAACTGGTCTTCATACTGGTTGTGTTGTTGGGGTAAATTGCTTTATCCCTGTGGACCTGTTTCCATTCCTGTGCCATGATAAAATGGGTGTATGTTTGCATCATGCTTCAGCACTCAGAAGAACCACAAGGGCTTGCATTTTCTACAAACTGAAGCCCCTGGGTAAGCCACCAGACATCTCCCACCTTTGATCCTGCCATATGTAATACCTAGGGCTTTCCGGGCCAGTCCAAAACATGTCCACTGTGCTTTCCTTTCCTTCACACTTCATCCCTCCATCACACTTCATCCCTCCATCACACCTACCCCAGCTTTGCCATCAGTTGCCTTTCAAGGAACTCATCTGCAGATGAATTTCTGCAGTCGAGGCTGGGTTCTGGAGTTGCCTCCCTCCTTCTCTGTAGTGGGTGCTTCAGCTGTCTGTCCAACTGCTGCAGGAGCCATCAGAGCATCCGTTTCAGATGTCTGTCTTTCCCATCGAGATGCTCACAATGGCTATATCTGAGAAGTCAGAATATGAACTCAGAGTTCACTAATGGTTGATGCAACATTTGCATCAAGAAGTCCAGTCCCAGGCCTCTCACAGAAAAGGGGGATGGTTACAGGTGGGATGGGGGTATTGTGTTTAATTATGTATTTACAGGATTGGATCCTGCTGTCTCATGAGCCTAAGGTAATTCACGGAGGCTAAGGTAATTCACGCTAGCAATGGCTAGTTATGTAAGGGACCACAAAGTAAAGACAAGCTCTCTCAAGGATATTCTCTATTTTCCAGGTGAAGTTAGCACCGACTCTCTTATCAGCACCCCTGGTAAGCTCCTATCTCTTGGCAACTTCAGGATTCTTTTTCCCTTTTCATCTTTGCTTCTGTCTGCACAGACCCAGAAATTGCTCATTATGCCTTTTCCCCACTTTTGACATCTAGCAATGTTCTTTCAGTGTTTGTGGCTGTCTGGGAGTCCTTTCTGTGCCCCATGCAGGGAGATGAATTTAGGGGGCTTAATGGCCTGTTCTCCAAGGAAATGCCAATCTCACCTGATGTACCAGGGCCCTCTGAAGCCGTTTGCACTGCAGGAAACCATGAAATCTACACTCTGGGTTTCCAGAGAAGGTTGCAGAAAGGAAGAGACTAAATGATGAGAGAGAGAAATTGGTCAGGTTCACCAGATAAGTGGGCAGCACTGGGACACAGGTTATGTCAGTTGACAACTAGCAGCCATGCTTGAGTGCTCAGGAGACAGAGGTGGCAAAACAACCCGAAAAACAGTAATAAAGCAAACTCTGAGCAGCAGTGGGCTGGGGAGGTTGCAGTACTGTTCTTTTAGTACTGTTTTGCCTGCTGTGCCTGTGGCTATGTCCTTGGGGGCAGTAAAATGTATGTGAAACGTAGGGTGGATAGAGGATGCTTGGAAGATGAGCGCTTAGAGCATGCAATGTGCCTCCTTAGAGAGCTGAGCCTTGCTGTGAGGACAGACCCAGAGGAAGGACATGGGAGCGTAGGCATTTACAAGTTAGACTGATCCTGCCAGACCCAATGGAGGAGAGGGCCAGAGGCTTAAGAAGGAGCCTCCCCACTTCTTTCAGATGATCCTTGTTTCAAACCTGGCACTGCTGGCCTCAGCACGGGTTTGTCTCTTTGCTGGGACACTCTCTCAAACACCAGGCAAGGGCAAGGAGAGGGAGAACACATCTGGTTGGTGAAAACAGCTAAATTTGAAGCCTTTGCAGCAGTTTGGCTTCAAAACACTTGCTGTGGAGGGATCAGGAAGAAAATCTTTACAAAGGACGTGCCATGGGACCCATCTCTGCTCTACAGCATCCCATCAGCTCTAGGACACCCCTCATACTCACAGGGAAAGCCACAGTTACTCTAACAAATCAAATGATAACAACATCACAATTAGCGTTGTCTGTGAACCGGATGTGGGATGGCTGCTGGTCAGGAGTGGTGAGCCACCGGCAGAACTGTGGGAGGGGGAAAGAGGCTGAAAGCTGAAATCAGGATCTTTCAGAGCATCTTCTCTTTTTCCAGCCGCAGCTCTCACACCACCTGTGCTTCTTAGTCCTGGTGAGTTTATTCTTAGTTCAGACCCAAATGTTGTGGACCCTCCTTGCCCAGTCCCTTGCACACCCTGACTTCCTTTTGACCCTTTGTCATGGACATTAAAGAACCAGTGGTCTGGGGATGCTGTTTCCTAAAGGAGTCACTGTTTGTTAGGAAGAGGTAGATACAGGTTCCTTTGCTTCTTGTCTAGATGGGTGGCAGTTACAGCAACTAAATGAATTTACCTGATCTTTTGAAATATAAGTCAAGATGCCCTTACAGTGTAATTTTGAATAGTAGAGGTAATGCTTTATGGTAAAGCTTGGGCAGATTTTTAGCATTGTTGGATGAGTAGCTGGCACTAGATTCATGTTGGATTTGTACCTTCTCTTATGCTTTCATGTCAGTTACAGTGAAATCTTTTTCCATGTTAGAAATCACTCCTGAATGAGCTTCCCAGTTGTTTGTTTTGAGTAAGCTGATGTCTAGGAAGGAATTATGGTAAATCACACTGATGTTGCTACCTTCTGTCTTCCAGTTCAGTCCGACAGCGAAACTACAACAGCTTCATCAGGTATGTTGAAGTTTGGTGCCTGCACCCCCTCCCAGACCCACTTTAACCCACCCTATTACCTCTCCGGGTGGGTGCTGGCTGAGCACTGACCTTTGTCTCCTGGAGAATTCCCTTCACCCTGTTCCTTGAGTTAGAAGTACTGGAAAATGACGGCAGTGGAAGCTGAAGTCTTCCTGTGGGTGGCATGCCCGGGAGGGGTGGAACTGGCAGATCACCAGACCACACATGCTGACTCAATTTTCTGTCGTTGTCAGTGGGTAAGACCTGGCATTTCAGAAGGAAATGCAAGAAAACCCATCATAGTTAGCTACAGGGCTGATTGCCCAGAAAAGTAAGGGACTAGGTTTGCGTCCTGAAGTGCAAGGTTGCAGACGTGTAGAAACGCGTATCTTAAGCATGTGACTACAATTTGTATTTCTTCTATTTGTGTCTGTCCCATTTTACAGCATGTGCCTTCTAAATTGAGGATTCCCAGTGGGCTTATTTTGCATTTCACTCAACTTTCCCTTTGTCTTATGAGGCAAGGGTATCAGAAAAGTCTGCCTTATTTTCTCATTCTTTAAACCATCCCCATCTCTCATGAGAGTGGAAAATAGAGGGTAAGGGCCTTCCCTAGAATCATGGTGGACAGTACCTAGTGATGAAGTTGTGTGTGTGCCAGCATGAGTGCACTTGTCAATGGTCCTGAATTGCACCTCTGTGTGTGTGTGTTCCCAGATTGTCGTGAAGAAAAGTTCCCTTGCACACGCCTGTACTCTGTCCACAAACCAGTAAAGCAGTGTATCAGCTACCTCTGTGTTACAAGGTAAGAAACCAGCAGTCCCAAAGAAAAGCCCTAAAAAATCTCTAGAAATGGCATGTCCAGTTGAGCAATTGTTTCCATGGAAATTTAGAGGTTCCCTCAGGGAACCAGTTGGTGAGATGAATCCTGTTGTCAGAATGTCCTTTTAGGGTGATTAATTAAAACAGTACAATAACTATTATCTATGCAGCACTATGGAGCTGTAACGTGACCTATATTGTAATCTGTGTTTAAGGTATTTGTCCATTACATGAAGATTACTTTCCTGTTGACAATGGCCTTATTCTAGACTAATTAATCCTAAAGATTTTGGATTTGCCTCCTCATCAGTGAATATTTTTATTTAGTTTATTACCTGTATCCCTGAGTATGTTTATTGCCTGTATCCCTTTTTCTGTTTCTTTGGATCCCTGTGCCTTTCACTTCTGTCCTTGGCGTGTTCCTGGTGGTCCCTCAGTGTGCGTCGCATGTACGTAATAAACAAGGAGGTGTGCTCTCGCATTGTCTGCAAGGAGAACGAGGTCATGCAAGGTGAGTGATGGCACAAGCTGGCCTAGCTGAATAGCTGCAGCCGTCTGGTGATAGAATCTCCAAGGTGACTAGTTACCCAACCGCAATCCATGTGTAGTAGTTTCCCTGGACTTGGTTTGGGAGAATTCTAATACAGTGCAGCCTTGCATCCAGTACACATGCCATGCAAAACACTGGGAAGTAGATATTGTACTGCCAAGAAGTATGAGAGCTCTGCCTTCCTCAGGCTTGATCATGCTCTGTTAGCCCCAGACACACTTTTACTCAAACTTGCCTTTGAGGTTAAAGAGTAACTCTCAGTATTTCTCTTCATGACTAGAAAGAGGATCCAGTATAGATTTCTTATGCAGTGTCTTTTTTGCAGCAAAATAGGAGTGATTTTAATGTGTATTGCACATGAATGAAACCAGAAGGAAATGAATAAAAGCCTAAGGACTTGTTCACGTGCCTCCTGAATACGAGGATTCAACAGTTCCAACAGTTTCTGTAGGTGCAGTGAAGGATGTACCTCTAACTGTTCTGGTGGTGAAAAGTTTGGAGGAAGCTTTGATTATCTGTCAACCCGTGTGTGTCTGCTATGTCTTTAGATGAGATCTGTCGCCAGCTGGCTGGCCTTCCTCCTCGACGTCTCCGCCGATCTGGACAACCCGGGCACCTCCCTTGCAGACAACTCCTGGAGCAGCAGCGCAGAAGGCCTGATGCTCTGTGAGCTACCAACAGTAGGAGAGAAAAAGGAAGGGAGAGAAGAGAAATCATCATGCACTACCTACAACCCAAGACAAGTCCTTGTTTGTGATTTCTCCACCATTTCCTTGCTTCTCTGCCTTCCCCCAAATCCTCTTCTTCAGGTGCTGTAGTACACAGAGTCCCCCCTCTGCTAATCTGTCTCAGTGGCTGTTCCCATCTTATAAATCTGTTGCCGAGGATGTGGGTGCTCCCCTCTTTTCTCTCAGACTGGTTTGCTTGCCATGAACTGCTCATTTCCCAGAGGTCCTTATAAATGTGCTGCATCTTCTCTTGCTCTGCCCCTGCAGAGAGACAGCCATGGGGACAGGATGTTGTCATCTCCAATAGTACAGATGTCCTAAGCTGCATCTCATGTGGAGGACTGCAAACTTTTTTGCCTTACAGTTCCTGGTCTAGGTTTCTTGCATGATATCAGTACGAGTTTGGTTATGGGTAGTCAGCCTAAGCCTCTCTGTTTGCTGTATGATAGCACAGCTTCCTGCTGGCCTCAGAGAAGTGACAGAAATGGGAAATGAGCTGCCCTCAACCTAAGGCAAAACCTTGTTGTCCCTGTATGGCATTTATAACTACCTCTGGGAAGTTCTTTGTCTCAAGCCCATTGCCTCCCTCACACACAACTACCAAAAGGAAGAATCCTGGATTTGGTATGGCATTGTGCTTTTCTCAAGATTATGTTGGAACAGAGTGCTGTCTCTTACTCTCCCTCCTCTCCCCTGTTCTGTCCCTCCCTTCCCATTGAAGAAATCTCTTGATGCCCATTCCAGGCAAGTTCCAGGGAGCAGTAAGTGTAGTTGCTGCTGCTCCTAAGCCCAAGAAAGAACCTGTCTGTCTTTGCAGTACTGAAAACTTGCAGTGAATTAACTTATCCTGGTGACTTGTCTTGGTCTGGCTACCTCCAAACTCTCCAGTTGCTGAGACTGCTTTCAGTATCTCCACTTGAGGTCCTACCTCTTGACCTGGGAGCTCCTGCACGAAGCGGAAGGGAGTCACACATTGGAATGGGATCTGGGAGAAGAATCGTTATCTGGGATCCTGGGTTTTCCTGTGGGTTCTCTGGCTGTGCTGACCTGCACACAGCCAGGTGCTGGTGGGGAGATAAATGTATCTGCAAGCCAACCTGGGGAAGAGAATTCAATCCGGTAGCACTGGATGTCGGTTTGAGAACTTTGTTTTCCAGATATATGGAGAACATTTCCAGGTATATGGGTGTATTTCAGTGTAAGACTGGGTAGGGTAAGTGGGGAGGAGCCGTCTGAAGTGTATTATTCTATGTGACTCTTAGTGACATGATTCTGTGGGGTACCGGGGCTAAGCAGATTAGCTCACTGCAGCAGAAGATCAGCAAAGCCCTATCTCTAGGATGTCTAACCATTGTTCCCAAATAACACAAAATTTGTTTGCTAGACTAGGCATCCACCCCCATCATATAATAGATATACTCTGCTGCTGAACTGAGTACCATTCAGCCTTGCAGAAGTACTGGTTGCTACATAGAGCCAAGACCACACGATATAGGGGACAGTTTGCTGCACAGAGGCAGGCTTCTCTGAAAAAAAAGAGCAAAACAAGAAAGGTAAGAGCCTCTCCCCAGGACTCAGATTTCTGCCGTATGCAGCAAGAAGCTGGTTCCATCCTCTGTGCAAGGGAACACACCCTATGCAGACACAGATTTGTTCCATATAAGGTCAAACTTTGCCAAAAATGGGCTAAATCTCTGTATATTAATCCAATACACAGCAGATAGAATTCCATGTTAGGCAGTGACTGGAATTTCATCCTATACCTAGGGGCATTGCACATCTGCACAGAAGATGATGCTCCTCTTCAGTACTCAAGGCTCGTGAGGCTGGGGTTGGAGGAGAAATTTCTCTGTACTGAGAGTGTACACATTTCTGTAGAGAGGAGGGCACTGGGAGCTTGATCTCAAAGACATTTAAGCCACTGGTAGCCACTGACTTTGATGCTGGGATGCCTGTGGAATTTGCAGGAATGAGATGAGATGTTAGAGGAAGCACTTGGAAATTGGACCAGGCGTAGTCTCCACTCTGTATTTAGAGCTGAATGTAAGCTGATATAGAAATAGATATATAACTGTATAATATAGCTACTGTAAAGTATATAGAAAATTAACATTCATACAGTTTGGGGAATGATTAGAAGCCTTTCTGTTGCTTGCTCTCAGCAGGGGCAGGAAGAGGTGCTCCTCTCGAGGAGAACACTGTTTTAATGTTGGAGTCCATATAATGCACACAAAAATATTAAAAGAAAATTTATTTCCTGTTATTCTTGGCAATTCTCATGTGTTTGGGTTTATTTGTCTTTAGCTGTATTTCCTCCAGATTTGTGGGGAGACTTGACTGCAGCCCAGATCTGTCATTTGAACCTTTTTACTCCCTGCTGGCCCTCCCTTCGATTGTGAATCACAGGTCTTCCAGGGAGGCCATTCTTTTGTTTCTAGAGATACAGAAAATTATCTTCAATAATTTTTTCCATGGATAGCTGTGCTAGATTTTCCTGACAGTTGATAGCTGCTGAGCACAGGGATAACTCGTTCCAGCCCATGAGATTTGTGCTGAGACTGCATCTTTTCACTGTGCGTGTGCCATGACCTGCTGGTAGCAAATTACCATCTCCAAGTAAAATGGTAAGATGGCCGAAATAAGAGAAGAGCTGCAATAACTCATTGTATAAGCAAAGAAGAATTTGTTCACTGGAGCTATTTAACTCAGTAATGGGAATAACTGAAAGACTACATTAAAAATTACACACGTAGGTCAAAAGGATTAAGAAAATTTATCTTTCATTGAATGTCTGGCTTTTGCATAGATTCATCAGACACTGACTGTATATCATATTTTGGTTGAAAAGATGGAGCACTCGGAGCATGGGGGACTCCAGGCACTGTCTTCATGCGCAACCAGTCAAGTCAGAATTTATATGGTATTTCTAGAACAAAATTGGCTGTGGCCCAAATTACCCATTAAACTGTCTCTGACAGTGTCTATAGTTCTTCAGGACTAAACCATACAACACAGGTTACTGCACAGCACAGTCCCCTAGAATCAGTGTTCCTTCCTGGCTAATGCTGTGGTGTCCCTATCTCCGAGTGTTAACATAAAAACAGCCTCAACCCAAGTTACTGTGATGTTGGTCCCATCTACGCAGGCCGGGCCCTGCTCTGACTCATGAGCCTTTCTTGGCCTTTGCAGTGTCCTTCTATCAGCACGTTCCATCGGCTGTGTGAACAGAGCACAACATGCCATCAATTGTAATTCAGTTTATTCTTCCCTTTCCTTACAGTGCTGGAGTCCACAGACAGATTGCCACTTCTCCCATGCACAGATTTATCTCCCCTGCCATTCCAACCTGAATTGTTGTGGTGCTGCATTGCTGATCTCTGAACGTTGCTTTCTCTTATAAGCTGGGGTTTTAATGGTTTTAAATATAGCTCCAGCTAGGTCTGTTTCTCATGAAATTGGGCTAGCCACAAAGAAAGCTGCCAGTGTCCCATTTTAGAGGCATGATCTAGAGTTTGTGGCTGATTTTCATAAATCCTTCTGACCTGGAGCAGGGGTCAGATGGCCCTCAGTCACTTCCCACACAATGGTTGTTCTTGCTCCTTTTGCTGTCACAGCTCCGGAATATCAGTAAGTGTTGCCAGTTTGAAGGCTGCTGTTTCAAGACCAGTGCTCTGATGTCTGGTCCCCAGTTTGAAGTGGTACCTCACATTGCTGGGCATGTGGAGCTGGAGATCCCCACAAGGGAAGCTGGCCACACCAAGGGGTTTCTGCTGCACATGGGAAGCAAAGCCTTCCCATCTCTCATTCTCCTCTTTGTTCTCTGCATCTATTTTCCTCATCCCTTCTCTTTCTTCCCTGTTCATATATTCACCAGGGAGCAAGAAACATGGTGAGGAGGACAGTGGGGCTGAAGATCGATGAGGTGACACACGCATTGCCAAGTGGGGTTGCGGGTAGTGCTTGGACCATGCCAACACTCCTTTTCCATTGCCCTCTGTTTCTCACGCTCCATGGCTCCCTCAGCTGCCAAGCTATGTTTTTCCTGAAGGGAAAGACAAGGGAAAGCAGGGAGGGGAGAATGGCACCTCAGGACAACTTGTGCACTCTGGGAATAGCAACCACATGTCTTGAGGTGACGGCTCCTCGTTGCAGAAACAAGACAAGGAGGAAGGGTAGTGCTGCAGGAGAGCATAAGGGAGGCTGTTAGAAGTGGCTGCCATGTCACCTAGAAGTTCCATGTTGCCTGGATCTTGCCCACAAGAACCCACAGCATTAACAAAGCATGTTGTCATCAGGCCTCTCAGCTTGGAGGGATCACTCAGGGGCATACTGCAGGCTGGCGTTGGGCTTGTCCTTCACAGAGGGGAGCGGTGCTGGCAACCCACCCAAAAGAGCACCGCTATTGCAGAAAGAATAGCTGGGTTGAAGCCAAAAGGGATTTTAGCATAGGTTTTTCGTTTGGTGGGGTTTGTTTTGGTGGGGTTTTTTTAAGTGAGTGTTTTGATGGGGTTTGTTTGGGGTTTTTTTGTGTGTGTGGTTTGGGTTTTTGTTTTGTTTTTAATGTTTTCAAGGTGCATGATCCCATAATATTTACTGCTGGCACCGCATGGTCTGACATTACTTGACAGTTGTGAACAGCTCTTTGACTGGGGCACAGGAAATCTGAATTCCACTTCTGGATCCCCTCTTCACCTCCTGCTCTCTGATCTTCAGCATATTGCTTTGTTTCTCTCTGTTCCCTGCCATCCTTAGCCCTTGTAATGCAGTAAACTGGAATAAACTCCCACAAATTAGAGAGCTGGATTTTCAGTCCATTAAAAATAACTATTAAAAAAGTGTGTGTAACCTCCTGAATTAATTTGTCTACTTTTGCTACCAATGTAAATTATTCTTTTCAAATAAAAATGTTTTGAATAATACAAATTATCCATTAAAATGCAAGCTGCATGTACTTGTTGCTGCTATCTTGAAAGTATATAAAACCCATGAATTGGTGAAAGTCATCAGCAGAGACGACATTTGGAATGCTGGTTTGGGCATTTTAGTAAGATTACCATTTCCATACAAATACAGCTTGTCACAAAATAGACATTAACAAAAAGATGCAATA